ACCAAATGTTTGATGATTATATACCATTCAATTGAATTGCGACCTAATTAATTAAATAAAAATTAATTAAAAATTACGTTAATAACAAAATTATTATTATTAAGAAATAAATTTTACTTGTGTAGGAAAATCACTCCATGGTCTCTCTGATTTTTTAAACCGGCGAACACTACATACAAATAAAATATTACTTGAATATTTTTTCATTTCTACCAAAAAAAAACAAAACCTTCAGATTCAATTTAATTTACATGTCATGAAGACTTGCAGCAACCCAGAAATATTGTTGTTTAAGACGTAATTCTTTTCCAACCATGTGATTATCATTAGGATATAACACTGCAGTTATATTTTCGGCTTGTTTTTGTTCTTGCACAGCTTTCTCATATTCTCCCTCATTGAAATATTTAAGATCAAATTGACGTTTAGGTTTACTACTCCATAATCGAATATTATTACAATTGTTGGTATCATAACCTATAAGTGAGTGAATAAATAAACAAATTAATGAAGAGATGAGCAAAAGAAAGGTTCAATGCATGTGGTGCGAATATTTACAAACAATTTAAATATAATACTCTATTACCTGGAATGGGAACATCGTAGGCAACAGCTTCTACAGTGTCAGAACCCTCCCAGGAATATCTTTCACAGCCATTTTTATCAGTATATTTATTAACAGATCCACCAAATTTAACATCAACTACAACATCAAGACGTGGCAATTCCCAAGGGTTATCAAAATTTAACCAATAATCAGGGAATTCTACTTGATGTCCATCCTTTAATCTAAAGTAAATGTTTACAAAAAAGTTAAGCATTTTAACATGTTATATTTTCATAGTAGTAAGAAATCTTTTTCTATAGCATTTAATATTATTTCCTTAGATTATATAATCTAATATTTATTTATTATTTACCTTTGTTGAAAAATACCATAAGTGTAACGAAGAGAGTGTGTGTGTATAAATAAATATTAATGTTATTTATTTGTGATTTCCTCCTGCCCCAACATCTTTCTTATTTTCTCTGAAGATATCGAAATGTCGAGATGGATCCAAAACTAAAAGAAGTTTTAACAAGTATCGAATCTGGACAATTTGGTGATCCAAGAATATTTTCTCCGTTAATCAATACATTAACAATAGGCAAAGATTATTATTTAATTTCCGATGATTTTGGATCATATCTTCGATCACAACAAATGATTGATGAAGCTTATAAAGATCAAGATGAATGGATAAAGAAAAGTATTTTTTGTACTGCTCTTATGGGCAAATTTTCTTCGTAAGTATTAATTATCATTTATTTTATTTTGCATAAGAATAAAGTGACTTGGAATTTATTACATCACTGTCTTACGATTCTGGTAAATAATAATGATCAATTAAAAATTTTCTTGTTTTGCTTTTTAGTGATCGTGCTATTCAAGAATATGCAGATAGTATTTGGAATGTTGAACCAGTTAAAGTCGTTTAAAAAAAAAATTTAATTGCTTTGCCATGTCAAAGAAATAATATGTAAAAAATAATTTCTACAAAATGTAAAAATAAAGAAATAAATTATTTAATTCTTTCACTGTCAATTAATCTCTTGATTCTGTTTGCGGATTTTTGTTTCTTCTCAAAGGATTATTGTTCCGATGAATGATGTCATCATCATAACAAATACCTTCTGGATGTCAGTCAACGTGGGAACACACTACTGCCATTTCTATCTATTTTTCAAATACTACTTTGCGTTATTGATTAATTTCTTGGTTGGTCATAATGTTAATTTTATGCGCTTAGTTAATAAATAAATCCTACACGGTTATCATCAAGTCTTTTTTAACGAATACTACCAACATTGATCTTTCTCAAAAAAAAAAAACCAAAAAAATTAACTACTTTCTTGCACAACTACATAACCTTAAGGACTTCTTTATCATGTCGATTCATATCAATTTATCTGAAAAATTACGATTTTTATGGAAAAATATTCGTATCAATAATAAATGATAGTAAAGGGAAAGATAATGTTTTTTTTAAGTAGAAATTTTCGACATAGATGAACTAGCACAGGTCATCCGGTCCATACAAAACACGAGGCCTCAGAGCCTCTTGAGGCCAGTTCAAGTATACCTGATCCTATCGATATTATATGATGTTGAAGTGAGTTAGAAATTCATATGAGCTGACTTTTAATGATGGGTGTAAAATCGATCCATATTAATTTGATCACTTTATGTTATCAACTTGCAGGTTTTTTATTTTTCTATAATATATTTATAGGGTGAGTCAGAGGTTGGGGAAAGCAGTAGGGGTCTTGGAAGAGGTGGTGATATTGGAGGTGCCAGTAATGTTGGGGGAGGCGGTGCTGGTGACGTTGGGAGAGGCAGTGCCAGTGACATTGAGGGAGGTGGTGACGTTGGGTCCTTTCGTGTTGCTATATCTCGAAAGCTTTATGTTCTAAAAGAGAAATAAAATAAAACTAACAATAATCATCAAAAAATTAAGTCATGATTCAACTTCAAAATTGAATGAAAAAGGATTTGCACAAAGAAATATATGTATTTTTTTTATTTTCTTAAAAAATTTCTGTTAATATATAATCAAGATGTCAGCCTGTAATAATGAAAGTATTTCGTATCAAAATATATTCAATAAAGTTCTGCCCTTAACCTATCGAATGGAAATGTTTTCTATATGAATGAATGCAGTGGTTGTCCCATGCACTGTTCGAAATTCAATCGGCGGAATCGGTGCGCACTAACCAAATATGAAAATTAACCGCAGATAATTTCTAAATTAGATTAGTTTATGTAAAGGCGCAGTCGAATTTCGAACACTGGTCCCATGATGATTAATTTGATTTTTCTTCTTTCGTTTTTCTCTTTTTTTAAAAAAATCGCATCCAGGATTAATGTGGCAAATGCATTCTAAAATACTATTAAACGTCCATATAGAGCATACACTGTATGTATGTGGTGAAGAAATAAATTGCGATTTTTTCAGATGCCGTGTGCGTAACAAGTACGAAAAGACTGAGGTCTCGATATAAGATTCCTGATTGGCTAATTTAATTTCACATGTGGAATTTAAAATACACGCAGATCTCAAACTCACATACAGCAAAATGATGCAAATAATGTTATGATGTTTGGAAATCTGTACTCGAAAAGCTTATACAATGAAAAATTTCTGATGATATTTGTTTATTCATTTATTATTTATTTATAAAAACGGAAAAAGGATTATGTTATTTGGTTATTATTATTATTATTATTAGGTATGCACCAATGAAAATAAAGATTTGAATACAGCCTGGAGTCAATTAAATATTTTTGTAACCATCTTAAATTATATGATTAATTTTAAGAATAGTGAGATTCATCATCTTTTAAAGGATCAAATAGATAATAGTGATTATAATGGCGATTTCGGTGTTATCAATGCTGAAGATAATATTGATAGTAGTGATGATGGCTATGATTCTGACAAAGAAAACAAATTTTTTCTGATGGAACTGATGAAGGATTTTATTTTGATCCTACACAGATCAAAAAGGATTTTTAAAAAGCAAGTTAATTACTTTAATACAAAATTAATTATATCATCTGTGAATACAAATTGATTGGCTATCGGTTTTTATAATAGGTTCTATCAAGAAACTACGTTTTGAATAGATCGGTTATTACTATTTCTAGCAATTATATGAAAATCATTTTTAAAGAAAATGAATTCTTTTCGTAGGAATAATTAATAAACACAACATAAGGGCAGAACAGAAAGAGCTTTATAAAGCTTTTTTTTTAAAAAACAAGTCATTGAATGAATTATCTCTAAATATATCCGATCGATCGATGCACAATTAAATAAGGTCCAAGGAGAATTGATACGAGCAATTATCACACATGGAAATGGTTCCTTTATCGAAGTCTATTCACCAACCGCCATACCTTGTTCGATGTTCGAATGGGATATTCATTATGGAATTATCAACTTCGTCAATTCGTTGTAAGTAATTATTAATAATTAATTGTTAAGATATTATACTTTGAATACCTTGATTTAAATTTTAAATTGATTAAATTTAGAAAATATGTGTGGAAGTCATCTTCATGCCAACGTCAAAGTCCGTCGATAAATGAACGAAGCTTTTCACACGATTTTGCAAAGCCTATGGTTGATTTTTTTTGTTGGGTGCTACCGAATTAGAGAGAATATGGGGATGGATGTGTCCCACAATCTACAATAAAGTTTCTGGCCGAAACTTTATTTATTAGTAGCCGAAATTGCCGAAACACTTTGGGCAAAAATTACTTTTTATACAGTCAAACCTCGTTATAACAGACCTCGTTATAACGAATTTTTGTTATACCAAACAGAATCTTATCCCTATTTTTTTTTATTAAATAAAAAATTTCGTTATAATATTAACATTATTAAATTCCTACCAAAAAATCTGTTGTCCGTTGAAACGCGATTTAAATTAATATTCGAGAGTGCTACGGATATTCGAATATATAAAATTATTTGACACCAATTTCGAATATGCTAATTAATGTGAATATTCGAATATCATTTCGATTTTTGATATTTGAATAGGAACACTAATGAAAACTACATCTTTAAACTCTGGTATATATTGTTAAAAAATAGGAGCTAATCAAAAGACAGTATACCGAAAGACAGTATATAATAACATTTGACTTATGAACAAACAACATATGGATCTTTGAGTAATAAATTACACTTGAATATGTTTAAAACATACTTATTTCATGCTCAAAATATTAATTATAATAAGTATGTTTTAAGTGTATAGGGAATGAAACTTTTAAATAAATAAATAAATAGATTAAAAAAACAAATGAAATAAATAAATGCAGCTTCAAATGTTTGAATACACTTCTCATCTAATTTCTGAATTACCCTATAGTATTAAGCATAACTTAAGTTGCTTCTTTTTGTGCTTTAGACAAATATATTTGATGCTTAGGATGATAACAAATGTTAGTATTTTTGTTTTTTGCATTAACAATTAGCTTGTTGTAATGCTTTCTACATAGAGCTTTTCCTACTACATATGGGTTCCATGCTAACAAAAAGATAGTTCGGGTTCAAGAACCCCAAAATGAGTTGTTGATACCACTATATT